CTCCTCTGGTCCAAGGTTCTGGTTCCATCTCTTCTTGACTCCTCAAAGACAGTATATCATCAAACATCTTTTCTACCCAGTTTCTTTCCACCCCAGCCTAGGACAGTGGTATTCCCTGGCTCCGAAGAAATCCTTCAACTCCAAAGCCCCCTCTGGCTGTCATTCATTCTCATTTCTTCCCTCCTCAGTCTAGTCCTTGAAAGACTAGCCTGTGTTCCATCTCTACTTCCTCATCTCCTATTTCCTCCTAAATCTGGGCTCTGCTCCTACCCTTCAATTAAAACTGTGTTTGTCGAGGCCACCTATGACTTCCTTATTTCTAAATATTGTCGTTGTCTTATAGACCCAGCTGTTTATTTGACACTGTTGATTTCTTCCACCTTGAAACTCTACTTGAATGGCTTCCTAGACCTTATCCTACATCTCATCTTTCAGCTTCTACTCAGTCTACGTCTTCCATTCATTCCCTAAGGTTCAATGCCCCAGGGCTCCATTCTTGGTTCTTGTCTTTTTTCACTTTGCTCAGTTTCTCTGAGGGGGTTTATTCTCCTCTGTGGCTTCCATCACCACTAGCCCACACCTCTTTTCTGAGATCCCAAACTTCAAATGCTACTGACTAATGATATCATCTGGGTATCCAAAAAGACACCTCAAAACTCAACATGTCCCAACCTGAACTCATCTGGTTTTTCTGGCAGTGTAGCTATGCCTTCTGCATTGTTTGTCTTAGTAATTAGTCCCCTATTCCTAATTACTCCAGACAGAAAACTGGAATGTCTAGACTCCTACATTTTATCTCTAAAGTCTGCCAATTCTACCCTCCTTAACATTCTCCTTCCTGCCCTTTTAAGTTCTGCTTCAGCTTAGTTCTTGTCCCTGTTCTCTTGTTGGCCCCGTTGCAGTAGTTTCCTAATTATCCTTACCTCCAGTCTCATTGCCCTGCCGTCCGTCTTTTACACGGCTATCCAGGGTCCTTCAACATCTAAAATCTGATCATGTTGCTCTTCTGCTTAAGGCTTCATTGGTTCCCCATTATCTTCTGAGTAAAGAACAAAATCAAGTCCCATCTTCCACCATGATCTGAGCCTTCCTGACTCCACAACTTTATCTCCTGCCACTTTTCAGCATACCTTCTAGGTTTCAACTATAACAAAATACTGACTGTTCCTTGAATATGCAATGCTAGTTTTATGCTTCTGAGCCTTTGCAGATGTTCCCTGAATTTCCTTTCTCCTTTCTCTTAACTGGTAATCTGATGTTTTGAGATCTTTTCAAGTGGTTTCCTCTGTGAAGTTTTCTCAGACCACCCTCCCTTTCTCACTTTTTGTCTACTTTTCTATGGTTCTTGTTACCTTTATTTACTGGTAGTTCCTTAAGGATGGGCCTATTTTCTATTTATCTTTATGAACCCCAGGCCTTAAATAAGTGAGGGAAATGCAGCATAGTGGAGTGAGGAGAGAGATGAGCCAGAATACCCCCTTGGTCAGGCCCTTCCTCACCCTTTGAAGAGAGGATCTTTTCCAGAGATACCTCCCCACATAAGTCAGGGCTGCAGCTGTGAACTAGTCACTCCCAAGGCACCCTGTCCATGATTGTGTGGGCCTCACAGAACATGTACTAATAACAACTTTATAGCTCGCACAGATATAGTGCTCAGTATGTACTACGCTAAGTACTATTCTCAGTGCTTCTTATATATGTTAACAAACTTTAGCCTCACAAGAACCTTTGACATAGATATTAGTATTAGTCCCATTTTACAGATGAGGAAACTGAAGCCCAGGTTACGCAGCTAGTAAATGGAGGAACTGGAATTTATAAAAAGATTGGGTTAATAAGGTGATATTTGTTGGGTGATAGCTACCCAGCATCTCACTATATTGTTTTCTCAACTTTTGTGTCAGTTTAATAATTTCTATAATAAAATGATTTTAAAGATCAGATTGAATTAGATCAATAGATTTTAACCTTTTTTTAATTTTTTTTAAGCAACACAACTCTCCAACCAAAATCTTGTGGAAAGGCTGATATGTAAATGAAATAAAAGTGGGTCTACTCTGGTTGATGGGAAGCCGGACCCCCTCCTATTGCTCCCTGCTTTCGCTCAGCTCCACTCAAGGCACAGGGTTCAGGAAGTACAGTTTAATGAAAATCGCTGGACCAGACTAACTCTAAGGATTCTTCTGGCACTTTTGCCTTCCCCTAGTTATATTGGCTTTGCACTGGCCATTAGCCTATATATTCTGTCCCAGAAACAGTGAGACTGGGCTATTAATCATTTCTACAGTCGGTGGAGAATTTGTTTGAAGGGTTGCAGAAACATGGGTTGCTATTAGAGATGCATTTCAATGTCTGTCTCTGCTTAGTGTTTATTAATAATCTTGCTAATCCCCACTCTAGTTCCCGGATCTAACTCCTATCAGATGTCCTTGGGGGGCATTTTAAATTCTCCCTGATTTCTTGGAGCCAGACACTTCCTTCTGCCTGGATTCCTCTCTGATACTTATATTCATGAATATTTCACATTTAATCTCCCTGATTACATTTCCATGTGATCGTCATGGTGCATTGGCTGTATTTCTCAGGGAAGACATACAGGAAACTCATAATAAAGGCTTGAGTTTGCAGGCACAGTGCCAGAGATCTTTGTTCTTGCCACTAAGATGGCTTTCTATCATGGACAGTGACAGGGGAGATGCTATATGGTGGGCTTTGCATGGGACCTCTCAGTCTAGGGCTTTGTACCCTGGCTCATGACCCAAAGGGATTAGCTATTTCAGTTAGGGATCAAATGGCACCAGGACCCTCCCAGTGGCTTTGAGGGCCACATGTGGGTCCCTGTGACTAGAGTTGCTCAACAGCTTCCCAGCCCCCAGTCAGGCCCCGTCCTTCCTGTAGTTTCCCTCCAATGTTACTATTGCTGCCAAGTACCTCTAGCCTGAGAGAAGAAACCTGATGAACTCATCTGCACCGAGGAGGAAAAAGTTAGCCCCAAATGCCCGAGGGCTCATGTTTTAGAAGTCAACCCAGGGAAAGGACAGTGGGGCTTAACACTCCCATGGGGTAGATGGGGTGGAGGGTTACAGAGGAGATTAATGATTGGAAGGCCATAGATTTAGAAGTCAGCAGTGTAAACATGTTAATCCAAACTATAGGAGATATCAAGGTTCCCAAGGAGAGAGAGGAGGCCTGAGGGCAGAACCCTGCAGAGAAGACAAAGGGCTATGGGAGGAGACAGAACCGAGTATCCTGAAAGCCAGCAGAGGAAACCATTTCCAAATGGATGTGGTATGTGTGGCATGTGACAAATGCTACAGAAAAAGTAATGTGACTAAGGAAATTGGAAATGTGCCAATACTTCCCTGGTAGGGTCCCATAAGGATGGTTATGGGCTTCACCCTTTAAGAAACCCTCCCTCAGGCTGCTTTGGGAGTGAGCCCTTCCTGTGGCCTCAGGGGACAGCCAGAGCCCAGCTGTCAGGTCTCCCCCTCTCCTGCAGGTGGCGCCCTCTGAGGCTGTTTTGGCAGCAGAGAGGCATGTAGGGGCCGCTAGAGGCCTGCTTCTCCAAGTCTGCAGGGGGCAGATGGTGTCAGTAAGAAGTATCCCAAGGAGGAGCTGAACCAGGCAGACAGAGGAAAAAGGACTGGAAAGGCTTGTAGCATGGGAAGTTACCTGAGATGCAGCCACTGCAGCACCCGACCTTTTCTGAGCAGAGCCTTCTGCCCTGTCCCCCTCAACCACGGCTAAGGGGTGGGGGTCAGAACAGAGGACAGAAGCCCAGGTTCTGCCCTCAGGAACTCACAAACCACCGTGGCAACACAGCCCACCCAGGGCCTTGTTCCTTCAGGTAGCCTGAAGGAACACAGAGAAGGTCAGGATTTCCCTCCCAAACATTCTAGACTTTTCCCTTTCCCCTTAGTGACAAGCATGTTTTCCTTCCTACTGCCTCATTGTAAAGGGAACAAAAGCCACCGTAATTGTTATATATTCTTTCCTTGCTGGGTCACCAGCAGCCACTCAGATCCCTGGGCCTGACACTGTGGGGCCAGTCTTAGAGCATTCTACTTGCCTATCTGTCTGCTCTCTGCATCCCCAAAGGCAGAACAAGCACAGACTTGGATCCACTCTGCACACCTCAGACCTTGGGCTTACCACTCTGTGGTTCTAGGCAGACGCCTAGGATGACAGCACCCTTATCAGTGGATCTATCAATTTCTCAGTGAGAATGTGAATGACTCCAGCCCCTTCCAACTGACTGAGGCAAGGTGGGCCAGGGCCCTGGACCTTACAGCAGAGGTTTGGGGTGTTTTGAAGGGAATAGTGAAATTAGTGAACAGTACAGGCCTAACTGGCCATCAGCTGATTTGTCATTAAATTTGTCCTCTCACCTGGGTATGGTAGATACCAAGCCAACTTTCAGGTTCTCCCAGAAGATACTCTTTAGGACACATCTGTGAAATAAAGAAGTCCTCATGAGAACTCTTTTTGTCCGATGGCTGCAGCTTTAAAGTCTGGCCTGGCTTATGCTGACAGTTCTCTAGATCCTGTGAAGGGACCTGTCCAGTGCTAAGGGAAACAGAGGGAGAAGGCCTGTCTTAGGGAGCTACACTGACCTTAATGCAGACTTAAACTCATGGGAACCTAGAAAGACCGTTCCAAATAAGTATATAGGAAGGGCCCTGCAGAACAGGGTGACTAGTATGGGAGGTTAGAGAAGGAGGTCCTGTGGGTTTAAGGAATCACAGTGGGCTTTCTGAGGGAGGCTGGATCACACAGGACTTTAAAGACAGACACCCAGGTGGGTGTAAGTGGGACTGAGATCCTTGGCTCTTCTATCTTGTTTAGGGTTTACCTCCCAGGGTGGATGGGTCTGCCCCTCCCTCCCTGAATCTCCTGCCTGCTGCCAGGGGTGAATGTCCTCAGAGGCCCAGGGGAGCAGCTCCCTATGTTTACTTTCTAACAACTCCCTGTCTCCTGCTCTCTCCCCTCCAACCCCCCAGGACCCAGCCGCCGCCTCCATCTCAGACGGAGACTGTGACGCCCGGGAGGGTGAGTCAGTAGCCATGAATTACAAACCATCCCCGCTCCAAGTGAAGCTGGGTGAGTGTGTCTGGTGGGTGAGGGAGATGCGGGGAGTGGACAAGGTGCACTGGGCTGGGTCTGCAATGAGGTACCACAAATAAAACCAACTCGGGCTACATGATTCTAAGACTCAAGCCACCAAGTCATTGGCACTGCCAGGCACCTTATCTCCTGCATGGCAAAGAGGGAAGTTACAGTTCTCTGCAGGACCCAGAATTCTAAGGGGCATCTCTAAGGCCAAGAAGGCTCCAGGTATTCCAGAGGATAGCTGCAGGGATAAAAGCATGGAACCCTAGAGAGAGGGTTGGAAGTCCCATTAAACTAAATGAACCAGGCTGAGAAGAAGCTGCCTTAGAGGTGGGGTGTAAGTAGCCACATCTGAGGGGTAGAAAGGAATGAGGATCCCAAGCCTAAAGCTGAGCCCTCCTCCCCATTTCTTCCTCAGCCCATCTAGAGACCCCAGGGCCTGGTTGGCTACTGTTTTGGGGAGTTTTCCCTTAGTTTTTTAGTAAACCCAAATCTCTCCCCCGCTTTCCAGGGTCACCTTTCCTTTAGGGTTTATCTCATGTCCCACTCTGAAGTCAGCTTATACTGCAGCTTCCTCTTTGAGGTCTCTAGGCTTCCAACCACCCCCTATAGCTCCTGCACTTACTACTCTATCTTATCCTAGGCCGAACCTAGGCCGAATTCAGGAACCAAAATTTTGCTCACCCAAGGCTGCTGCATATAACAGACTTTCACTAAAAATTTGGTTTCATGAAGAGAAATTACAACACAGTACATCTAGGAAAGAGTTTACAATTAAGTACAGGTTACTGCTATCCTTCAAAACTCCTCTGCCATCCCTGCCACCCTCCTTCCTGTCCATCTATCTCCTCAGGCTCTAGCTGCCCACCAAATATTAGACCCCTCCTCAGTCCTAAGAGCCCTTTCCACATCTATTCTAAAACTTCTCCCTCTGCAGCTGCTAGGACTCCTTCTCACAGAGTTCTGTTCCATTACTCAAGATTTTTTTTTTTAAACCTTTCTTCTCTCCTTCCACACCACATCCAGAGAGCCCCTCAGGCTGTTTTTCTAAACAAGAGAGCAGTTCTCTCAATGGAATTTGTTCAGCTTCCCAAGATGCCAAACTCAAACTGCAGCCAGTTTTATTTATTATTGTTTAATTTAACAATACAAATATTTTAACAAGTATAACTTCTCCTTTTACTCTCCCCCATCACATGCTCCTCCTGAGGTAATCGTTCCAAACTTTTAGTTTTTCTAGTTTTGTTTTGTGTTTTAACGTAAGTGGTATCGCACTGTACACATTTTCTGAAACTGTTTTTGTGTTTGTTTTCTACTTAATGACTTGGAGCCCCATCCAATGTCAGTATATAGAAAATGACTTCATTCTTTTAAATGGTTGCATAATATACACTGTAGTTTGGTTTTGCCAGTTTACTGTTTGCATTTTTTCACTATTTCAAACAATTCCAACATGTTTTTAAAGTAACCCCCCC